GTCGCTCAGTCGCGCGCATTTACGTGCGGAGAAGTCAGTGAGAAGGGAAGCCTGCGCAGGGCAGCAGGCTCGGGCAATTCCGATCGGATAAACCCCAGGCGTGCGGAGTGACTGGAAACGCTGGGCTAGCGGAGAGGAACGCCATTGCTCCCTCTCTGACCCCGCCCCCACACACAGCGTCACAAACCAGCGACCTGGGTCGCCCCGTCCTGGTAAACAACTAAGGCTTCGCTCCGCTCACTTAACAGCGCGAACAGACCAAAAATGGCTCTAGGACAACTCAGAGCCCCAGAACCGATAGACCTAAGTGATGAAGAAATAGCCAGTCTTTCAGATGCACAGTTCAAAACACTGGTTATAAGGATCCTTACAGAACTGGTTGACTTTAGCCACAAATTAGAGAAACATATGGAAGCTAAATTAATTGAAATGAATGGGGATACAAAAGATTCCAATAGTAATGGAAAGAAAATTGGGACTCAAATCAAGGGAGAGAACCAGAAGGAAGAAAAAAATGGTCAAACAGAAAGGAATGAAGAAATAAGAATTCAGAAAAATGAGGAGAAGATTAGGAACCTCCAGGACATCTTTAAACGTTCCAACATCCGAATTATAGGGGTACCAGAAGGGGGAAAGGCACAACCACCAGTTGAAAAATTATTTGAACAAATAATAAAGGAGAATTTCCCCAAGATGGCAAAGGAAATAGACTTCCAGGAAATCCAGGAAGCTCAGAGAGTCCCAAAGAAGTTGGACTCAAGAAGGAACACACCAAGGCACATCATAATTACATTAGCCAAGATTAAAATGAAGGAGAGAATCTTAGAAGCAGCAAGAGCTAAGGGGACAGTCACCTACAAAGGAGTTCCCATCAGACTGTCAGCTGATTTCTCAAAAGAGACCTTACAGGCAAGAAGGGGCTGGAAAGAGGTATTCCAAGTCATGAAAACCAAAGATCTACAACCAAGATTGCTCTACCCAGCAAAACTTTCATTTAGAATGGAAGGACAGATAAAGTGCTTCTCAGATAAGACCAAATTCAAGGAGTTCATCATCACCAAGCCCTTACTATATGAAATGTTAAAGGGACTTACCTAAGAAAAAGAAGATAAAAAAGACGAACAGTGAAAGGACAGCAAACTCACAGTTATTAAGAACCACACCTAAAACAAAAGCAAACTAAGAGGATAGCTAGATCAGGAGCAGAACCATAGAAATGAAGATCTCAGGGAGGGTTAGCAATAGGGGAGTGGGAGGAGGGGAAGGGGGGAGAAGGTACAGAAAATAAGTAGCATAGATAGCAGATAGAAAATACATAGGGGGGAGGGTAAGAATAGTAGGGGAAATACAGAATCTAAAGAAATTGAGACACATGTTCATGAACTAAAGGGGGAAATGGTGGGGGAGGGGTATGCAGGGTGGAGGGGAAGGGAGGGGGGAATAGAGCAAATGTAATGGCATAATCAATAAAAAAAAATTATAAAAAAAAATAAAAAAAAAATAAATAAAAACAAATCAACAAGTGAAATATGTCCCCCAGAAATCTTAACACATTCAGATTTCTAACATAATAAAATGGTGCACGATTTGATCAGAGACCAGCTATATTTAATGATCAGAGACCAGCTAACACTCAATCCCACTTTTTAATCCTTTGGAAAATATAGCTTTCTTTACCTCCTCAAAAGACAAACTGACATACTGTGGAAGATGGTTATTTCTAATAACCCTCTATCCCCGGCTTCACGGAGCACGTTGTCTGAGCTGAAACACCAGATTCAGTTCCACCCGCTGAAGCCACTCTCTGCATTTTTCTGCTCCTCTGAAGGACAAGCCGTTCAAGGATGGACAGCTTGGTACTGGCTTCTCCTGCAACTCGATCATTAGAGCTAATCAGGAGGCTTCCATAAGGGCCCCAGCCCCCGCACACATTTCCATGACTGAAAAATGAGCCTTCTCTCTGGCTCGGGTGCCAAACTCACAGCTTTGAGAGACAGACATGCCATTGAGAAGACAAACATTGCATCCAGCTCCATCCATCTCAGGTCTGCACTTCTCCTGATTAGGTGTTGCCTTGGAGAATTAGAAGCAAAAAACTAGAACTCAGCTGAAAAAAAAAAAACAACAATCCATATTTCCTACCCTGTAGATGTATGTTGTTTACAAGCGAATGAACATTTGGGCTGAGACCGAGTTTTGTGCCATTCACAAGATATGAAACTCCCACCCAGCTTACTTCTATTCATCAATATCCTTTAGATCGTATGGTTAGTAAACCACTTAAATGGCGCTCTGTTCTAGCGACATTTTGTCTGATAAAATCTTAAGAGATTCTTGTCAAAAACCACTTCCAGTTAATCTGTGCTCCCCACATCTTCACCCATCAACCGTCCCAACCTGTGAAAGTACACAGCCCTGGTGACCACCACTTCCTGTTCTGGGGGTTTGTGTGCTATTTCTAACTATTCTCAAGTTCTCAGAGCACCCCAGCTGGTATCACACTCCAATTTCTTTGCCCATGTTATTTTTCTGCCTTGAATGATTCTTTTTCAACTTTGCTTAGGACTCCACTCAAAAACTGTTTCATCTGGGGGGGCCTTTCCTCCTCTTCTCATTCTTAGGATGGAGTCAGTTCTTTCTCCATTAAGCAACCACTTTTGAAGCGAAGGGGCCTGCAGTGCACCAGGCAATGGGGGGTGGTGGACAGCAGTGGGGGGCAGGCACAGACACGTAAACAAGCAAATGCGTTGGCATCACCTCTGTGCACTAAGGAGGCAACTCTAGCACATAGCATGGTCCTTAAATTAGTTGATAATTGAATGTTGACTGAGAATCACAAGGAAAAGTCAAGATTCTAGGTCAGAAAAAGAAATAGTATAGGATCTAAGAAATTATGGGTAGTATAAAAATGCATCCTTTAAAATTTATTTATTCAAGATACATATACAAGGGGGGGAGCCAAAATCCCCAGAATTTATTAAAAATTGTGTATTTATTCTTCCATGTTTCAACTTCAATCACCTTCATAGTACTCTCCTTCACAGGACATATAGTGATGCAATGTGCCTTTTGAGACATTTTTCTGCTGCTCAAAACTGTTTTTCAACTCAATTTTCGTGTCTTAGTGCTTTTGTCATTTTTTTGTTTCACCTCTTCCATATCATCAAAATGTTCCCTATGAGGGCTATTTTTTTCCTAGGGAAACAAAAAAAGTTGATCAGGGAAAGACTGGGTGAATAGAGAGGGTAGGGCATGGGGGTCATGCTGTTTTTGGTCGAAAACTGCTTAACACTCGGTGCTTTGTGGGTAGGTGCCTTGTAAATCACCTGTCGTGAAATGGGCAAATGCATTGAGTCTTCAAAAAAAATTCACTGAAGCCGAACACAGCCTCTCACAACACCACCAGCTGGTACACTGATACAGATGGGTTCCTAGAAGTCACCTAGAGGGAGAAGCCCCTAGAGGGGTCCACCCACCAAAAGATAATTTCATTTTTAGGGGGGTCCCCCCTCATATATAGCGGTAATTTCCCATTACCACTGCAGAAGAGCTTTGCTGTGATTTTTCATTAGGGAGGAAGAGTTGGTGGGGATTTTCCAGAAGCTCAGGGGTCAGAGGTCTAATAGCGTACTGCCAAATTACAAAACACAGTTCCTCTGTCCTCAAGAGACTTTGGGGAACAAGGGAGGTTCTGGAGATAGATGCTTCTGCCACAAAACAGCTGGTCCCATGAACTAAAGGAAGGGTTTTGTAGATGGCACAGTGGAGCCTAATAAACCAGGGATGTCTCAGGTGATGTCTGTGAACTTACACCTCCGCTGATGCACTATCATTTTCCCCTTGACCTGTATCATGTAAATTTCATAAATCTTGCCTGCTAAGATGAAGGAGTTCCAACCCCTCTATAATAGCTGATCTTTTATAAAATTCAGAGGGACCTCCGGGGAATGTTTACTAACTGGTGACTTAAGATCACTTGTAGCAGTAACTAGGCAGTTCCACAGGACACCCACGAATTGCTTTCTAAGAGAGGAAGAGAGACAGAGCAATGTCAAGAAAAGGTACAACCGTTGGAATCCAATAAACTTAAATTCAGATCCTAATGCTGCTGCTTGCAGCTGTGTGATATGAGGCAGGTGTCAACCTGTCTAAATAACCATTCACTCATCTGTCAAATGAAGGAATTAATAAGTCTAAACAGAATTGAATTCAGTGCCTAATTATTTTGGTCCCCTCACCCTTTCTTAATGTCAAAATGACAGACTGATCATATTTCCCTTCAGTAAGAAAGTAAAAATGAAAATAAAGAATGACTCAAATATAATTATTCTAATACTGCATATCCTACCATTTTGTTCTGCTTCATTAAGAGAGCAATTCAAGGGTTTTGGGAGTTAGCAATCTGCCATATATGGGCAATCACCTTGTGCATAAAGAAAGATGAGAGTTATTAGGCATAATGTATTCATACTGGCTGAATAGCAGAGCCTCGTGTAGAACACAGCTGTTAACGCTAACGTATGGTGAAGGAGACTAAAATTGTAACTGCTGCTTTGAAGTTCACTGAAGGTAAGTAGGTGTGACTGTGAGCTCTCTATAGGCTGTATGCATATACAGCTTGTAATCGGTTGTTTCAAAGACTAGTGAAAAAAACAACTAAAACCATCTAAAGACAAGGTTCTGATTTTGAATTGAGTCAAGCAGGGCTTTAGTTTGCTCCTTGTTTATATTTTTAACGACATGTGTCACAGTTTTTAGAGTTCCAATAATCTTCAATCCACTTCCCTTTCTGAATGAGCATTAATATTGAAATCAAGATATATCTCTGTAGCCCAAATAAAAGTCATGCGATCAATGAGCTCAGTAGGATCTATTATTTTAAGGAATAAAGAATAAAAGTAATTGTTGGACAGAGAATAAAAGTAAAATTGGAATGAAAAGATGCAAACACCTCTTCTCACATATTATCCTTGTTGTTTCTTTCCCCCCCAATCCCTTAGCTACACCCTTGCTGGCCCCGACACCATTGAGTGCCTGGCCAGTGGCAAGTGGAGTGGCAGTGACCAGCAGTGTCTGGCCGTGTCCTGTGACGAGCCCCCCCACGTGGAGCACGCCTCTCCGGAGACTGCCCATCGGTTATTTGGAGACATTGCATTCTACTACTGTGCGGACGGTTACAGCCTGGCAGACAATTCCCAGCTCCTCTGCAATGCCCAGGGCAAGTGGGTTCCCCCAGAAGGTCAGACCATGCCCCGCTGCATAGCTCATTTCTGTGAAAAACCCCCATCTGTTTCCTACAGCATCTTGGAGTCTGTGAGCAAAGCCAAGTTTGCAGCAGGCTCAGTTGTGAGCTTCAAGTGCATGGAAGGCTTCGTCCTGAACACCTCAGCGAAGATCGAATGTCTGAGAGGCGGGCAGTGGAGCCCTTCGCCCCTGACCATCCAGTGCATCCCCGTGCGGTGCGGAGAGCCACCAAGCATCACGAATGGCTACGCGAGCGGATCAAACTACAGTTTTGGGGCCGTCGTGGCCTACAGCTGCAACAGGGGGTTCTACATCAAAGGGGAGAAGAAGAGCACCTGTGAAGCCACGGGCCGGTGGAGCAGCCCCAGACCCACCTGCCACCCCGTATCCTGCAATGAACCCCCGAAGATCGAGAACGGCTTTCTGGAGGTGAGAGGCCAACTAGCGAGTAGTCCTCGGCTCCCGTCACTTTCAGGGCCAGCCCGTGTGGCTAACCTGGGATTCAAAAGCGGGTCCACGGAACAGAGTAATCGTTGAAAGAAAGAAGTAGCTAAATCTACAGGTGATGAATATTGGAGAAAATATCAGAGATATGAATCCTTTTACTCCATTAGCTTTCTAACATGTGTCTTTTCATTCAGTGCATCAAGAAAACAGGAATGAAAATGTATTCCCCCAAACCAAGAGCCTTTTTGAGTAGACGATATTCTAATGAAATACTTTTTAAAAAACCAACACATACATAATGCTTCTTATTCTCCTTTCAATTCAAATACAACAACATAATAAAAGCCATTTATTTAAGATTTTTGCACAAATGTGTTAGATTTCCACTGGAAGAAGATTATAGTATATGTAAGGAAGCTGTCTCTACTTATTCCTTTAACAAGTATTTCTGGAACTCTGGCTAGGCTCCAGGTAAACACTGAAACTGTGAGGTTGACTTGTATGGGTGAGGGTCCGCAATGGTCGTGCTGACGGGCACGTGGGCCCCCCACGCACTGCGTGAGTAAATAAAACAAATCATTATGTCCACATACCGAGGAGTTCATTACGGCACGGAAGCTAGACTTCACCTCTCTCACTAACACAGACCCACAGTAATCTTTGAAAGGTTTCATAACACCAAAAAGTGATTTGTTATTATACACTTATTTGTTTGATTTTTGAGATCACAAGTATTAAGTATTTTGTTTGAAAGCTGAAATACGGGGTTTTTATTTCCCTTCTTTATGTTTTAGCAGCAATTTTTAAAAGCATATTAAGAATGAGCACTGAACTCTGACAGTACTTTTAGAAACATAGCCATGAAAAATATTTTATTGGCTTTTTAAGTAGTTTGCCTATGTATGCATTTTCTTCTCTGTGATTCAAAACAACAAACTATAGCATTACCTTGGCCAGCAAGATTTTTCTAACTTACCAAGTAACTTACAACCTTCAGTATCGCTCTATCAGTTTATCCATTAATTTAGAGACTTTTACTTACCTTTTACCCACGGGCTCAGCACTGTGGTAAACATTCCTGAAGTAGCGATTACCTGATTTGACTTCCTATGGTCCTTTGAGAACGTACTTTTTTTTAAATAGCATTTGGACCTATTGGAAAAACATAAATCCTTACTTGCTCATGTCTTCATCGGTTCTTTTTAAAGCAGGCATTTCAGTTTAACTCCTGTGTACTAGTCAATGTGTTTGGTTAATTATATCATCTGTGATACAAATCGTCCGTAATTGTTTTCCCCTGTCACGCAGCACACCACGGGCAGGCTCTTTGAGAGTGAAGTGAGATACCAGTGTAACCCAGGATACGAGCTGGTTGGAAGTCCTGTCTTTGTCTGCCAAGCCAACCGCCACTGGCACAGCGACTCCCCTCCGTCGTGCATCCCTCTCCACTGTGAAAGACCTCCCCCGATCCAGAATGGCTACGTGGAAGGAGAAAATTTTGAAGTGGGGTCCAGGGTTCAGTTTTTCTGTCACGAGGGTTATGAGCTTATTGGCGATGACTCTTGGACATGCCAGAAATCTGGCAAATGGAATAAGCAGCCCAACCAAAAGTGTGTGCCCGCCAAGTGCCCAGACCCACCGCTCCTGGAAAACCAGCTCGTGCTGAAGGAGCTGAGCACGGAGGTGGGAGTGGTGACGTTCTCCTGTAAAGAAGGGCATGCCCTGCAGGGCCCCTCTGTCCTGAAGTGCTTGCGGTCCCAGCAGTGGAATGATTCTTTCCCTGTGTGTAAGATGGTTCTTTGCCTCCCGCCTCCCCTGATTGCCTTTGGCGTTCCTTCTCCTGCCTCTGCTCTTCATTTTGGAAGTACTGTCGAGTATTCTTGTGTGGATGGGTTTTCCCTAAAAGGAGAGTCCACCACCCTCTGCCAAGCAGACGGCACCTGGAGCTCTCCACTGCCAGAGTGTGTCCCGGTGGAGTGCCCCCAACCCGAGGAAGTTCTCAACGGCATCATCGACGTGCATGGTCTTGCCTACCTCAGCACGGCTCTCTATACTTGCAAGCCGGGCTTTCAGCTGGTGGGAAACACCACCGTCCTTTGTGGAGAAAAGGGCCTGTGGCTTGGTGGAACGCCCACGTGTAAAGCCATTGAGTGCCCAAAGCCCAAGGAGATTTTGAACGGCAAATTCTCTTACAGAAACCTACGCCCTGGAGAAACCATGACATACTCTTGTGACCGAGGCTTCAAGCTCGAAGGTCCCAAAGCCTTGACCTGCTCGGAGAGAGGTGATTGGGATGCGGACGCCCCCTCTTGCAGTGCCATCCACTGCGACCCCCCACAACCCATTGAAAACGGCTTCGTGGAAGGTGCGGATTACAGCTACGGTTCCATGGTCATCTACAGCTGCTTCCCCGGGTTCCAGATGTTGGGTCATGCCATGCACACCTGTGAGGAGTCGGGATGGTCGAGCTCCAGCCCAACGTGCGAGCCCATAGACTGTGGGCTCCCTCCTCAGATTGATTTTGGAGACTATACCAAGGTCGAAGATGCTCAGGGATATTTTGACCAAGAAGAAGACACGATGGAAGTCCCGTATCTGACTCCTCACCCTCACCCTCATCTGGGAGAGATGGCTAACACCAGGGAAAACTCAACCCCTGCGACACCTCCACCGAGCTTCCTACACGGCACCACGGTTTCGTATGCCTGTCGTCCAGGGTATGAACTCTTGGGAAACGCTGTGCTGACCTGCCAGGAAGACGGAACGTGGAGCGGCGGTGCACCGTCCTGCATCTCAATCGAATGCGATCTGCCCGTCGCTCCTGAAAACGGCTTTCTGCACGTTACGGAGACCACCATGGGCAGTGCTGTACAGTACAGCTGCAGACCCGGGCACATCCTGGTGGGCCCCGACATCAGACTCTGCCTACAGAGTAAAGAGTGGAGCGGCGCTTCCCCACGCTGCGAGGCCATTGAATGCCCCAAACCCAACCCAGTTACGAATGGCTCCATCAGAGGAAACAACTACACGTACCTGAGCATGGTGTTCTATGAGTGCGATCCTGGGTATGTGTTGAATGGCACTGAGCAGAGAACATGCCAAGAAAATAGAAACTGGGATGGCAGGGAGCCAGTCTGCGTTCCTGTGGACTGCGGTTCACCCCCAGTCTCAGCCAACGGCCAGGTGAAAGGAGATGAGCACACCTTCCAAAAGGAGGTGGAGTACGCTTGCGATGCAGGCTTCTTCCTGGAGGGAGCTGGGAGTCGCATTTGCCTTGCCAACGGCAGCTGGAGTGGAACCACTCCCCTGTGTGCGCCTGTCAAATGCGCCACGCCCCCACCGGTGGCAAACGGGGTGACGGGTGGCCTGGAGTATGGCTTTGGGAAGGAAGTGACGTTCCACTGCCAGGAGGGCTACGTGTTGCATGGTGCCCCAAAACTCACCTGTCAGTCAGATGGGAACTGGGACGCGGACTTTCCTCTCTGTCAACCAGCGAACTGTGGGCCTCCTGAAAATACTTCCCATGGCTTCCCTAATGGCTTGTCCTTCTATCATGGGGGGCACATACAGTACCAGTGCTTTTCTGGTTATAAACTCCACGGAAGTCCTTCAAGGAGGTGCCTGTCTAACGGCTCCTGGAGCGGCAGCCCGCCCGCCTGCCTGCCTTGCAGGTGTGTCACACCGGTCATTGAAAGCGGAACGGTCAATGGGACAGATTTCGACTGTGGGAAGGCAGCTCAGGTTCAGTGCTTCAAAGGCTTCCGGGCCCTGGGACCTTCTGAAATCACCTGCGAAGCCCATGGCCAGTGGAGCTCTGCCTTCCCACGCTGTGAACACACGTCCTGTGGTTCTCTCCCCGCAATACCAAATGCATTCGTCAACGAGAGCGGCTCTTCGGAGGGGAACGTGGTAACGTTCAGCTGCAGACCAGGGCACGCCCTGCAGGGCAGTGCAGACCTCACCTGCACCGAGGCAGGGGTGTGGAGCCGGCCACATCCGGCCTGTCAGCCCCTGTCCTGTGGGCCCCCACCGTCTGTGGCCAACGCAGTGGCGTCCGGAGAGGCGCACACCTATGACAGTAAAGTGAAACTCAGGTAAAACCACGGCTCTAAGTCTCCAAGAAACGCGGACAAGAGAGCTGTAAAGTGAAACGGGATTGATCAAAATGTAGCCAACTGGGCAGAAAACACCGTCTCTGACTGAACTGCTTTCCAAACCCTGGAGCTTTTAACACTTGCCTTTATTCTACCCATAACTATGTAGAAACCCATTGCTTGTAAAAATAAATTTCTACATTTTCAGGTGGTAATTCCTAATATAATTATCATAATTACCATCTTCTATTGAGCTTCATGACCCTCTAGATCATTGTACTATCTCTTAAATCATAAGGCTCTTCATAAACATCATGCTAGCGAATTTCTTTATGAAATCACTGGATGATTATAGGCATACATGCAAATGTTGGGGAAATAAGGCAAAAGTTGAATACTTCAGGTAAAAATCGCATGCTTTCATTGATCAATATGAATAGGGAGCTCTTCATGGGGGACTTCCAACCAGTGCTGTCGGACAAACTAAGCATTTAATACACAAATTACAGTTTTTTCCTGCAAAGTTTCCTATTTAAAATGCATTATTTTAAAAGATGAGAAAATATTAAACAAATTTAAAATTAAGTCTTAAATGGGATAAATGTTTGTAATGTTCAAAGAGATCTCAATCCTCTACATCAATTTACATTTTGCTCACAATCTGAAAGGATTATAGATTATCCTTCACATACTGACTTCTTAGATTTTGTTGATGATTCGGTGACTCTTATTAATAAGCATGTCTATTGTGGGCATTTTCACCCTACCTTTATTTTCTCTTAGTTGCAGTAAGAAATAGACCCAAGGAAGGCTCATAAACAACAAAGCAACAGAGGAATGGACCATGTGCTAGAAAGAAAAACAAAAAAATATGCCTTGTTTTTGACATGCATTTTAAAATTTCTGTTTGGATGTTGGTGTCAGATATCTTGAGAAGTGACAATATCACCCGCTTCCCAGGACATGGCTGTCTGTCCCCTTGTTGTGGGTTGGTCACCTCGTCTTTCCCATCTTCACTTGTTGGATGAGCAGGTCACTCCAAGCTTCCAGAACCTCTGAGTCCTGCTTGGCCCTTAATTTTTGAAATTAAAAAAAAAAAACATATCCACCTAATAAAGGTTAGCTAGATAAACGATTTTACTCTAGAACCAGATTCTCAGCTCTTTGGTGGCAGTTTTATCATGTAGAAAATGAGAAAAATATAGTGACAGCGCCCACTCCTAGGGCTGACTTGAGTATTAAATGAGTTAGTATTTGTAGGGCACTTAGAACAGGGACTGGAATTTAATGAGTAAACATTTGCTGAATAAATAAATGCAAACATTTTAAGTCATGGAGTTTTAGGGCCAGTTTGGAGCTTGAACAGCCACATGACAGTTACATTATAGTATTTAATAGTCAGGATTAAATTATGGAAATGACCTAGAACAGTGCTTGGCACAAAGTAGATACCCAATAAATATCAATTATGTTATATTCTTACTAGCATCCGAGTCTGCTTTGAACTTTGTCTAGAAGTTCTTACACTGTTAGAGAATAAAAATGGGTTCAGTAATGATACTATCCACAGTAAAGGTCAACAGTAACATTTAAACCAACTTTAACTTGGCTAATCCTTAACGTCCATAACAAAGGGCTGGTCTGGTTATCATTATCTTGGTGTTTCTGCTTCGCAATGCCATCCATCTGGTGCTTGAGTCAGTGTTGACACAGCACCAGAAAAATCTACTGACCGTGTAACAGCTCCTTAAATCTACGAACAGTTAATTGGGTTAATTGGCCGTGTTGTCCTCTCTTTAAGGCACTTATTTTTGCTTTCCTGTTGCAGATGTCTAGAAGGTTACATGATGGATACAGACATAGATACATTCACCTGTCAGATAGATGGCCGATGGTTCCCAGAGAGAATCTCCTGCAGTCCTAAAAAATGTTCTCTACCAGCCAACACGACACATATACTTGTTCACGGGGACGATTTCAGTGTGAACAAGCAAGTTTCTGTGTCATGCACAGAAGGCTACACCTACGAGGGGGTTAACATATCGACATGTCAGGTAAGGTTCTCTGCCTTCATCAGAGCATGTAAGCATAACTCACCATATGTGTGTTTGTGTGTCTCTGTGTGTTTGTATATGTGTGTATGTGTGTGTCTCTGTGTGTATATATCTGTGCATGTGTGTTTCTGTGTGTATATCTGTGTGTGTATGAATATGTATGTGTGTATATCTCACATCACACAAGCAGTATCTTCCTAACCTAAAAAGAAAGAAAAAAAAGCCTCATATTTCCAGTTGTGTCAAAGGATTTGAGAAGTTTTTTGGTAGAAATATAATAAAATATATCTTTCTTTTTAACACTCTTGTTTTTAAACTACAAAAATGCCGAGGATTGGTGAAAAGTGGCGACGTTAGATGAAATATTAAAACACCTATAACAAGATATTCATGAAAAATTAACCACTTGGTCCTGTGGTCGACCCACAGATGCTCAAAACAATGTGTGTGTGTAGAAAGGGGCTCTGAGGATTCCAAGTATGTTCTCAGTTTTAGGAAGATCAAAGGCTGCAGAAACAGGAAATTGGAGTCAGGTTCTGAGTCTGCTACTTAGTACTTGTGTGATCTTAAGAAAGCTATTAAAAATCTCTGGGCTTCGGTTTCCTTATTAGAAAGAAATGGACAGTAACGCCTATCTTACGTGGTTGATGGTTGGTGGGAGCAACTGTGCCGATAACGAGGGCAGGGGCCTAGCTCCGCACCATCGGCAGCCAACCTCCCTAGACATTCCCTTCTGGTTTCCATCAGTTGCACCAAAGAAAGAAAAATAAACGAGCCATTGATATGGTCTTCTTTTGCTGGAGTTTGGGGTGGAGGGGTGGTGGCGAAAGCTGAGGAGGAGGAGTGCTACGTGGTATGGAATGGCTTTTATGTTCATCGTGCCTTTGAACTTCATCTCAAATATTTTAGGCTCTGTGATGTGACCTTATATTCCTCCAATTTGTTTTCTTTTATATATATATTGTCACTAAAAGGATTACATTATGTGATGCAGTAAAGTGTCCAGTATACAGCTGCCATGTAGTAGGGACTCAAGCACTATTTCCTTCTCCTTCCACTTTCCCATTTATAAATTACGTGTCCTCGGTGATTGGTTGCTGCCAAACCTAAGAGCAGTGACATCACAGGGAGCAGGTCAGATGGCCATCAAAGTTGCTCTCAAAATTGGTGCCATTCCAGATGTTCCATTTTAGGGGTAGAGATGCAGCTGTTTGAGAGGAAACTTCTTCAAAGACCCTGAGCTTTTTAAACCAAGCAAAGTCCCAGCATACTCACGGGACCCAACTCAGTGGCCTCCCAAATCCTCTCCAGGTTGGGTGTGGATGGTGAGGTGGCTCCTTGTGTGCCCCAAAGGACCCCGCCATGCAGGTGTCTACACTTGTTTTTTCTGAATCAATAATTTATTTTTGGCAGCCCTCATTACTTACTCCGCACATAGTATGGCCTGTAACCTTTACTCAGCTGAGTTTCAGTTTAGTTTTTGGTCTGAATAGACCTTTGTAAATGTTTACATGTATAAATTGTGTAAACCTATGTTCAGTGCCTAAAAATATTTTATTATATAACACAATCCTATAGTTCATAAAACGAGTAAACGAGAAGATGGATACAAATTCTGAAAAATGAATACTAACAGACGATGAGCTCTTCCTGAAATTAAGACATTTTACAGAATTACAAAACTCCTATCAGGGTGGTATTTGTGTAAAATTAGGTAAAAGGAAATTTTAATACAAGAAATGAGTCAAAAGTAAATTCTGATAAAGGAGTCATCACAAAGCAGTAGAGATAGAAGTAATTAGTAAACAAATTATTCTGGTGCAATTAAGTAACCATTAGGGGGAAAAATGAACATATACCAAAATACATTCTAGCTATTGCAAAAGAAAACAATATTATGTAATTTTTAAAAATTATTAAAACAGCTAGAAGGATTTAGTCAAAAAATATATATTGATTGAAGTAATATTTACAGTATGAAAATGAGATATAATTTATATTTCCAACATTAGGAGAATGGTTGACTATATGTAGGCATAGACAGGTGAAATTGCTTCTGGCCCACACGTAGAACTGAGGCTTTGCCTCCAGTACTGATGTAGGCAGTCATTCAACTCACGGCCTGCTTCCTCAAAGAAGACAAAAATATTAGCAAGAGAATAACAGTCAAGGCAAATATCTGTGCGTACTTTATCCAGATAGAGGGCTGAGAAATGTTAGTACTAGCTATGATGGTGGGGGAGTAAAGTAAATCTGGAAAATATATACATATATATACATACACACACACACATATACATATATATTTTTATGTGACCCACACCAAAATATGTAATAAACTGTTTTCAAGTATTTGAGTTGGAATGCAGAAAAGGAAGCCACCTTTTTTAAACGTTGAGTGGTATGCCTAAAAATTGCTATTTCTCATAAACCTTAAAATATAGAATTTTGTGAAATATAAGAATATATTGGTACATCACAGAATATTTGTATCACCCAGTCCTCATGCATCATAATAAAAACATACTTCTTGGTGTTACTGGATTTTCAATGGATTTTATTAGGAAGAAAATGCTTCTTTTGCATGTTTAAGAAATGTCCAAAATTCTTTAGCAATGACTGTGAAGGCCATATAATAATTAATGTGGTTTTAAGGCCACAGATGAGTAAGTAGCAGAAGTAGGACCAAATTCTGCAACAAGTTCTTTTGACTATCGTTTCAGTGGTTTTGCTGCTATACAATCACTATGTATAGACTCCTTCACTTATACAATTTAACTCCTAAACATAACTTATAATTTATTTCTTGCTTAGCTTGGTGGCACCTGGGAGCCACCGTTTTCCGAGGAATCCTGCAGACCAGTTTCTTGTGGGAAACCTGAGAGTCCACAGCACGGATTCGTGGTTGGCAGTGCACACAGCTTCGGAAGCACGGTCACTTATCAGTGCGAGCCTGGCTATGAACTAGAGGTAAGTGAACAGACTGTCCAACCAGAAGTCATTTGCATTTCCAATCTACTTGGAAGATTTTTAGTATTAGTATTGATTTACTTCACTGATTTTGGCCTTAAAGTATATTTTTGGCCTAAAAGTATACTTCGTTACTTTTTGCCCTAGTTCTTTACAAGAAATATTTAATGTGACTTACAACTTTAAAAAGCAAAACAAGCGAGCAAAACAGAACCAGAGCCATGGAAAAAAAAGAACGAACCGACAGTAACCAGAGGTGGGCAGGAAGAAGGGAAAGAAGGGTCATCAAGGAACATGTATGAAGGACCCATGGACAAGGACAATAGGGGGATTGATGGGAGGAGGTGGGGGTAGGGCACAGGAGAGTAATGGGGGGAAAATGGGGACAACTGTAATTGAACAACAATTTTAAAAAAGGCAAAATAGGTCTTGAATTAAAAAAAACTCACAGCCACAAAAGGGAAAAAGTTAGTATGCCAACCACAAGACTGATACTGTTACTTCCTTTGGCTCTGTAAGGCTGTGTTTCAGCTTCCTGTTAGTCATGCTCTGAAACAAAGCAGTCTGTCTGTCACCATGGAGCAGGGACCTGAGGGAGTTAGGTATGAAAAGCTGGGATTTCCTCAAGCAGTAGGCTCAAACACCTAGTCAGGTTCTTGACTGAGATGCCAGGTTCCCACATGGCAGATCTGATAACAGTTCTAACCAAATGCCCAGTGACCTGGTCTGTAAGATTGCATTGCCATCAGTACCCTGACTGGTGTGGCTCACTCACCTGGGCATCTTCCCCAAAAAGCAAAAGGTCACCAGTTTGATTCCTGGTTGGGGACATGCTTGGGTGGTAGGTTTGGTCCTGGGTCTGGGCGCGTACCAGAGGGCCGCCAGTCGATGTTTCTGACATTAATGTTTCCCTCCCTCCCTCCCTCTCCCTTCTCCTCTCTCTAAAAATAAATAAATAAAATCTTTAAAATTAGAAAAAGCCCATCAGCAGCACTGAGGTCTCCCTATTTACTTTGACAGAAACACTGCCATCAATTTTGCTGATATCAAACTTGGAAATTAAAGAAATCTGTCTTAATGTCATCGTCTGGTCTCTCGGGAAACTCTTCTTCCCTGTTTATATTGGTGTAGTGGTATTTAAATACAGCTTTTGCAGAAGTAGTCACTGCCCGTGGTCTGTGAAATTTATATAGCGTGCTCCACTTTGTGACCACAAAATCAAAGACCTGTCGTAAAATAGACCCATGAACGCTGGAACTAGACTGGTATGGATCTTGTTCAAATTCTTCAAAAGATTAAAAAAATGAGAGAAAGGGCAATAAGGTAGCAGTCGATTGCAGTTGGAAAGTTTTCCTGCTTTTGAAACCCAGTTGTTCTTCCCGGAAGAGTACTTACTAATCTTGCAATTTGTTTAGGGAAAAAAAAAACAGTGGAATAAGATCTAGACAAACATGTAGAAAATAGATGGGTCATTAAATTTGAGGAAGTAGATAGCTGGCCATGAAAATTTTTGGAAATGCCCTGGTGTAAAGCTGCAAAATTGAGAGAGGTGCTATAGCAATTGTCCCTCCAAGCTACATCTTAGAATTACCTGAGAAGCTTTAATGTCCAGTTGCTTGCAGAAATAACCAATTCCAGGTCTGGGGCAAGAAATGTAAAAGATTAGCCTAGAAAATCTTGTCACTTGAGACAGGACAGAACCTATCAGAGGCCACATGTTAAGAAAGACTGAGGGCCCCACCTGAACAAGGTTCCTGCGGGCCAAAAAGAGACCACGTCAGCATCAAAAAGAACAATAACGACAATGGACTGAAACACATCAAAAGTGTCATGCATGGTACTAGGCTTATAATAATGCTAAAAAAATCATTTGGTAACTTTAGAGGAAGCTCATGGAAAGCCCATTACTTTGAAAACAAACAACAAAAAGGGAAAATTGTCTTTTTTCAAGGCTATCTAGACTGCTAGACAACAAAATAGGAGCAAAGAGGAAATTCCCCTTTATAGAATTATGCCAGGTAATAAATTGTAGAATATAAATCCCAGAACTTGCAGCTTAGATAAATTAAGTGTCACAGCTATTAAAGTCAGGAAGGAAAAAAGAGGCCACCAGACTCCTGAAGGATAAACGCACCATTTGAAAAAGTCTTGCCAAAAAAAGATAAATTCAGTTTGAATCTTATCCAGCCTCTGAATCCAACAGCTGGTGTTGGAGGCAAAGGGACATGTTAAGTGACATCATAATTAAGCAATTAGGAAAAACCGCTGGCTATGAAAATATCTGCTAATGAGCCAGTCTTCTGTTTTCTGAAACAAATAAATTGGCAGGGTAAGAGGAGAGGAAAAAGAGAAGCAACCTATAGATTTAAAGAAGCATGTAAGAAATATATAAACCATGTGGACCTTCCTTTGGTCCAGATTTAAGTGAATTGTTAAAAAGACAATTTATGCAACAATTGGAAATGTGAGCACATTGGATATTTTGTTACTATTCATGAGTCATTACTTTATGATATAGTGGTATTATTGTGGTTATAATTTTTAGGAGCTCTTACATTTTAGAGATGCATACTGAAATAATTATTATTAAATGACTTGACATCTGGGATTTGCTTCAAAATAAGGTGGGGCTTCAATTAGACAAGGTTGGCCTTGAGTCCATTGTGTAAGCTGGGTGACGGTACATGGACGTATGTTACACTGGTCTTTCTACTGTAATATTCTTCATATGCTTGACTTTTTCCATAAGACATAGTTTTTAAAATGCAAGTGACTGTTCTCAACCCAAACTAATTCATTCATTGTCTCTGTTGGTTGGACCTAGCACAGCAGCATCTTATTTAAATTTCCCCAGTGAATGTTTAACCAGGACTGAGAACCACTAACCTGAGACATTTCTGTGTTTCTCAAAGTGTGGTCCAAGCAAGAGCCATTTGCTTGAGAGTCACCTGGGAAGTTGTTTAAAGGAGTGTGTATTCCTAGGCCAGGACTTTCTGGATTGAACAGGACTTGGATGGAGATTGGTGTTTTTAACAAGTACCCTAGATACCAAAGGTCAGTGGAAGGGCAAGTGGGTAAGGACAGGGACTTGTCCTGGCAGACCTCTGGTACAGGCTCTGCTCTCTCGCTGGCTAAAAGTTGTTTGGGAACCGACCCAACCTCTCTGAGCCTCTGCTTTGTCCTGTCTGTGGTAGAAATGCAATGACCGCCTTTGCAAAGTTACCTCAAGGGGCGGAGATGAAACAAAATGGGAAACATGGCCTTTTATGCATTGTCTGAGTTCATTAGATGGTAGTTATTATGATCACTTCCAGTATTTGTATTATTGCCAAAATCAGACAAAGGAAGTAGGACAACTAATGTAAATCATGTTCATTTATTCTACTATGTAAATAAGTTGTCATTTATGTGTAAGGTACGTAACATTTTTGAGCTATGTAAACCATAAAAGTTTTACTGCACATGCAATCTTTCTAGAATGAAAATTACTATGGGCAACTGGGGAGTAAATGAAAATCGAGACCTCAAAAATAAGATAGTCGTGATATAAAACCATTGCTAGTGAGCCATAAAGTGGCTGTTATGATTCTAAAACTTAATACAACCATCTAACCTAATTGGTGATTAAGTAGATACATTAGGTCAAAAATAATAATTTAATGCTAATCTGTATCTAAAACTCCAGGTTAATTCATCAAAAACAAGATATGTAGAGAAACATAAAGAGAAAAAGAAAGAAGGAAAAGCATGATGAAATTTGTAACTTACTGAGAAGAGAGCCAGCCAACAGATGGTGTTTGATTTTCTACATCAATAGTTACAGAAAATAGATTTTATTTGAGTGTTTACTGGCATTAAAATCAGCATAGTCAAAGCAGAATATTATTATTGAAATCATTAGATGAAAGAGAACAAGGAAAAATAGTACTGGGGAAAATACTAAGCTATTAATTGAAATTAATTCACTGAGTATAGTCTATTCTGGATGAACCCACATAGTGGGGGAGTTAGCTGACTTTTATGACTTGCCATATACTTCCACCAAATTAATAAAAAATAATTCACAAACTACAATGGTATATTATCTTGTGCATATGTAAGTATCTAGAAAAGGTACAGTAGATATTAATGGTGTTTATCTCTGGATGAAGAATCACAGAAAACCTTCCATTTTCCAAACTTTCTCTAATGAACACATGTTGGTTTTACAATAAGAAGAAAATAATGAACATGTACTTTAAGGAATATTTTAATTTTATAGAAGGAATTATTTTCTTGGAAAGTCAAGACATTATCTTTCCATCTAAGTCAATGGAATTTTAACAGGCAAAGATTTATCAGTAATTAATCTGAAGCTCAGAGAAAATACCTTTGAACAGATGAGTAAGGGGGAGAGGCATCAGTCAATCCAGATACCAGTATAAGTAAAGGCAATAGGCTCTTTCAGACATCTTGCTAATTTGGGGACAAGTTCAAGATGATATATCCAAGGGGTCCTAATGATGAAAAAACTTGTGACATAATTTACATGCTAAAGTTTGTGTATTTGACTTACAGCCAAGCCCTTTAGTACATTACTTAGAACCTGATCTTTTTTTAATACTTAATGTCACAAAACTTTATTTATCTTGTTTATTATTCTATAGATTAGGAATTTAAAGCATGAGAAGGGATTATCATTAGGAACATTGATGATTAGCATAAAAAATAAACAAGAAAGAAGCAAGAGCCCTGGCTGGTATAGGTCAGTGGATTGAGCACAGGCTGTAAACCAAAGGGTCATAGTTCAATTCTCAGTCAGGGCACATGCCTGGGTTGCAGGCCAGGTCCCCAGTGGGGGCCATGTGAGAGGCAACCACATATTGATGTTTCTCTCCCTCTCTTTCTTCTTCCCTCCCCCTCTCTCTAAAAATAAAAAAAAAGAAATAAAATATGTTTTAAAAGAAAATTAAGAAGGAAGAAGCAAAGGTGTAAAGTTTTAACCCAGAATCAAAGAATAGTGATATAGTAGCCTAGAGTAGCTACATGGGCAAACAGTCTGTATGCCCCCCCCAGAGTAATGGGATATTGAAAAACATACAGAATGTATACTCAGTATCATAATTATAAATACATTTTCAAGTAAATTATGTTCATTGTACTGTATTTCACAAGGCAGGGAAGTAGATTTTGACAAATTTTTATCTAAAATACTTAAAATTTTAAATGCTTGAGCCCTTAATAGTGTAAGTTTATCTAGGATAAATTGCATTGTTGAAAAATGCAATCCTCGTACCAATAAAATATGTTGGCATGTTTCATGTTCAAGGGTGTAAGGTAAAGAATTGTATTCTTTTCTGTACCTCTCAGGCATTAAAACTCAACTCAAAATATGTTTAAAATGTACTAAGCAAATATACCCATTTCACATGTCAAACACATTCTCCCATCTTAACTGTCAGCCATAACTAGTTGCCATTTAAACAGAAAGCAAAACAAAGCCTGTGCCTTAATTACGCTGGTCAGCCAAGGCATGAAGTTCAAAGAAATTCGATGAAAACCTTCTTGCAAATCTAAACCTGCCTCTTCAACTACATTTACTTAATAAATTTATTCAGCATTCCAAGGCCAAGAGATTCAAGTTCACGGCTATGATGGCTTTGCATTCCCTTGCTGTCTTTTCATTGTAGACCTACGATCTCGTCAATGACTCTTTTCCATTGGTTCACAGGGCAACGCTGAACGTTTCTGTCAGGGGAATGGGCAGTGGAGTGGAGGGGTAGCAACGTGCAAAAGTAAGTCAAGCCGCACTTCACAGTCCCCAAAATGATACTGAGGACACAGTCACAATGTGACTACCATGTCTTTATAAACCAGTTTTGTAATTTAAAAATTTGATTCTGGACTTTTACTAAAGGAAGACACCAAGCCACTAAAAGGGCCAAAAACTGTAGCTGAGATTAATAATTACGTGAGACTAGAGCACAAGATGACCAACTCTGGAATGGCAAACATTTTGTTTAGAAACTAGTTGATTACTGAGTTTATTTGCATTTTGTGTTCCCCCTGCAAATAATTATAAATTAGAAAGCAAATCTTTCGGTTTTTGGTAGCAGTACTGACCCATGCTGACATTTTCTTAAAGTGATGTTAGCTCACGTGTCAAATAAATGAATGTTCACATTTTCATGGAATTTTATGTGAACTCATTTTATGAAAAGAGTCAAGTGTATTTAACCAGATGTGGGTTAATTCACATGACTTTATTCCGGTATGTGACCCATCGGATTCCTCTGCCAAAAGGCAGTGTGTTTCTAGAAATCCATCAATGGGGAAAGCATTTAAATATTTTTTTCTTAATAATCCTGGGGGAGTCATTAAATTTTCAAACTAAAAAGGGCCTTTTAAATAATCTAGTCTAAGCAACCTTTCAGGTGCTCGAGCTGGACCAGATGGGAGTACGTCAAGACAAGTAAGATTTACCCTGGCTGGTGTAGCTCAGTGGATTGAGTGCGGTTCTGTGAACCAGAGAATCTCGGTTCAATTCCCAGTCAGGGCACATGCCTGGGTTGCAGGCCAGTTCCCTGCAGGCCAGTTCCCAGCAGGGGACGCACAAAAGGCAACCATACATTGATGTTTCTCTCCCTCTCTCCTTCCCTTCCCCTCTATAGATAAATAAATAAAATCTTAAAAAAAAAAAGACAAGTAAGATGTATTCATCTTGCTAAATGAGTAAACGGGGCTAGGAGAGGTAAGGTGACCTGCCCAGTATCATAAATTAATTTGGTGGCAGAGTTGTCACTGGGACTCTAAGTACTTGAGTCATCTGGGATAGATTAACCAGTTGATTTCATGTGTATAGAAATATCAAGTCTTTTAAGAAATGTTATATGGTTAAAAGTCAATGGAGGACCTATGATCTTTTGGTTCTCAAAGAGTCATATAAACATCATATAGAAAAATATTTTTAAAAAACATTGAGTAACATCTGAAGTCACAGAAAGACATCATTGGCCATTCCTGATAATAGCATTTTTATCCCAACTGTATGTGACCAAAAAGCGTGTGTGTGTTCAGGGAGGAGAATAGGGAATGAAAAGGACACAAGTCTGCCTGCCTAGGAAATGGGAAGGAATCGTTTCAATCTGCAGCAGGTTTAAATCAAACTACAATGTCAGTGCTTACTCTCACTTCTCTCTCTGAAATGCAAGATAATACAGAGCTGTACTTGAATCCTGTTATTTTCCATGGTTTTCTTTTTCTTTTTTCTTTCTAATTATGAAATAAGCAATACAAGTTCTTTGCAAAAATATTAAAAGCACAAATAAGCAAAAAGAAAAAATAGTTCTAAGCCCACCACTCAGGCATAAAAACTCTTGCTATTTTGATATACTGTATTATGTGGGTTTTTTTTTCTCATAGGCGTATAAAAAATACAAATATTTTTGGGGAAAAATAATGCTCACACGAAGCATCCTGATTTGAAAGATCCCTATAGAATAGTTATTAAGTTATTAAATATATTGCTACCTGTATCCATCATATTTCAGGGAAGCCTGTTCAGGTCGGAAGGATTCCCTAGGCTGGTGTTCCTCAAAGGGCAGCCCCAGGGCCAGCAGCCTCAATGGCTCCTGGGATCCTGCTAGAAACGTAGAACCTCAGGCCGCACCCCCAATCCCACCAAATCAAAATCGCTATTTTTAGCAAGGTCCCTAGATGATTCCTATGCACATTACAGTTTGGGAAGCAGTGCCCTGGGCCTGTGGTTTTTAGGCTTCTGCACGTTGGAAGACCCTGGGGAGCTTTGGAAAATCCCTTGACCGGTCTGCATCCTGTATCAGTTAGGTCAGACCTCTGAGGGCGGGACCCCACATGGCTGTGTTTTTGAAGCCCAGGAGATTCCAGGTACAGCCACTGTTCACACCCATGGTTCCAGTGCTCCCCAGGCTATAAGAAGCCCAAAGAAGTCAGCTAGCATCTCACCTGGTGGCTCTCAATTCTGAGTGAGCATTAGAACCATTTGGGGAACTTTTCCAAAGAAAAATACCAAAAGCACGGCCACAGTAGAGATGCTTATTCATAAGGTCTGGGACAGGGCCCTCGGCATAAAGCTTCCAAGGAAACTGTAATGTGCAGCGCAGGCTGAGAATCACTGGCCCAGACCACCCCTCTGCCCTCACCGAGCTCATAAAATTAAGGCTCAAACCCATTTTTTCAGATTCTAGAGAGGATGACCCTGCTGTCCTCCTGCATGCCCCTGTCAGTAACGTTTCTTATGGGTGCACAGCCAGGATCTGTGACGACACGGAAACTTGCCATGGGTGTGTGGGGTCCATGGGGGGCGGGGAAAGGGTTCCTCTCCCGAATTTTCAGCTGTGCCCGCCACTCCCTTGTTCTTCATCCTTTCCTATATTTCCCCTTCTAATAATTTCACCTTTTATCTCTCTTTACACGCAGTATACCCTTGATCTAATTATTTCACCTCACTTTTCTTCGACTGTGAAATGAGATAATGTCAGAGTTGTTGTAAGGATGTAGCTGTAGCCAAAAAGCAAACAAAAGCCACCACCCAGTTAAATTTAAACTTCAGATTAAAAGCAATTCTTAATATAAATACTCCATGCAATATTTGAAGCATACTTATTCTAAAATTTTCTTTGGCATTTAACTGATATCCAGATTTAACTTGATAGTCTGTATTTTATCTGGTCAACCATAGATGTAAGAAATAAATTTGATAAAGTCTGGAAACTCCTTGGTCATGGAAAACACAAATGACAATTCCTTTGTTTTACCCCCTGCCCATCCAAACCCCCAGCTCTGTTAACAACAAAAGGTGGCAACATCCATACAGACAGCTAGAGTCCGTTGGGAAAAAATAGCAATCTCTAACTGCCTGCGTGTGCTACTGTAAAACTTAGGCGTGCTGAGAGTTTTTCACCTTCAATGCGTATCATTGTGCTTCACACATGAATAGGCTATAATGGTGCATTGCGTGCCTTTAGGAGTCATAGCAGAAGGAGAAAAGAGAATTGGGTGAAGTATTTAACATGAGGCGTTTTTCTTCTACTTTGCAGAGGCCAGTTGCCAGGCCCCCCTTGCATTCCTGAACGGGAGAGCGGAGGTCGGAAACACCAGCACTGGGCCCCGCCTGCTGTTTTCCTGCAACAGGGGCTACAGCCTGGAAGGGTCGCCCGAGGCGCATTGCACTGAACACGGGACCTGGAGCCACCCAGCTCCTCACTGCAAACGTGTGTGTTGACTCTGAGAGGCTGCTTTAGTCAGTGTCATGATTAGTTCCCCAAATGTCTAAATTACAGAGGAGGGTGCTCCTCTGATAAATGATACTGGCCCAGAGAAAGCCATCTGTGTGTATCCAAACCAAATACTATGCGGTCTTTGAAACACCTACTTGTATTGTCTAAAATATCTCAGCTGAGAATCAGCTTTCGTGAGATTCCTTGGCTTGAATACGACGAGTTTAAGGTGCTAAGGGAAACTGCAACTTAATGAAAAAGATTTGACATAAATTGTATGTATAATGCATTCGGGGCTGCAAAATGGGTGAAGGAAGAAAATATGTTTAATGGTCAATATTCATAAGTATGTATAAATAGAGTACATGAAGGTAATTAGCTATTAACCACTGGCACGAAAACCATATTCATGAGCAAGGTTTCAACGGAGAGGGCTCCGGTTACTGTTGAAGAGCTGTAATGCAGTGGCCAGGCCTACAGGACTCAGCTGGGGACCTCCTCCCTCGCAAAGACTTCCTTTGTGCCCGCTGAGAATCAAAAGCATTGTAATTGCTTGAAATATGTGTTGATGCACATGTCACTGTAAAAAATCCTTCCACTGTCACCGCCTGTGTTTCCTGTAGACCTAGAAAAAGGAACCCATTTCTGTTCATGAGACTTGCAGAGTCTGCAGTTTAGGTTCTGCTACCCTGTGTCTGGCAGTGCGGGTGTGAAGTCATGCTCAGCTCATTTCAGTCAGGTTCGCCTGATGACCCTCTGGCTCACCCTGCTCGGCGATGCTCAGTAAAAGGAAGTCAAGTGACAGTGGAAGCATTTACTCCACGTTCTCAAATACTCTTCAAACGTTAAGGGGATGTTTGGTACACTCCTTGGTTTCTAGCATGGCTTTTGTTTCCTGGGTGCTGATCAACAAGCAGTCTGAAAACTGCTGTAGGCCGTGAGCAGACAGTTATTGAATTGCCGTCTTGGAGGGTGAGGACCCTGTGTTAGTGGTTGAATAATGTGGTGCTTTCAGGCCTTATCTAATTTGATCCTCCCAGATACTTTCACAAGTCTGTGTTTGATGTTCGAAGTTCTATCCTTTTAAGCCTCATATGATTGTCACTTAGAAGCCAGCTCCTTCAGGGCTCACAGTCTGCCTCCCAAGAAATAAAGGAGGAAAAGAGAGACAACATCAGTAAGCGTTTTTTTTTTCTTTTAACAGCAAATCCATGCCCCGTCCCTTTTGTCATCCCCGAAAACGCTCTGCTTTCTGAAAAGGAGTTTTACGTTGACCAGAATGTGTCTATCAAGTGCAGAGAAGGCTTCCTGCTCCAGGGCCAAGGTGTCATTACCTGCAACCCCGACGAGACGTGGACACGGACAAGCGCCAGATGCGAAAGTAAGCCGGCCACTGGAGTCCAGTTAACTGCCTTAGTTCAGAATTTGTGAGACTGTTTTCAATCAGGTCACTTGACTGCAGATGTTTCGGTCTCTGCTTTATCATGCTTATCAGCATCTATGTTGATAGTTGGAAAAATTCTTTCAAAAGACCTTTGAATTCCAAACATTTCTTTCTTTTCTGTGGAAAGAAAAGTTTCCACAGCCAGGCTGAAACCTACCGGACCAGGATGCACTTGAGCAGATTTTTGAGATGTGCTCTTCTGAGATTAAATCTTTTGTTGTTAAATCTACAATACAGGGTTTTCCCCACATGGTCGAATCCCCGAGCTCTCTTTTCATCAGCTATGAGTGCTTTGCAATACAAAAATCATTCCACAGTGGTCCTCACATTGGAGCCTGCTGAGAACCACCTAGAGGGCTTCTTACGAACTGATTGCTGCCCCTGCCCCCCAGGGGCCTCAAGTTCCTGGTTCAGTAGGTCTTGGATGAGGCCTGAGAGTTTGCATTCCTAACAAGTTCCCAGGTGGAGCTCATGGCGATACTGCAGGTGCTGGACCCACAATTTGAGGAGCTTGGGGCCAGCTCCATGGTGATGAACAACATGCAGTCTGCAGCATCTTCTGCTGCCTCCTTACAACTCTTGACAGTTTCTGCACTTAGAGCATCCCCCCCGCCCAACATCCTGCCCTCTGCCTGCCTTGTAGTCCAAGGCAGCTCCCTCTACAGCAATCAGTTAACAAATGTTCAGAGTCCAACCAGACGCAAACACTGGGCCACGTAGTATAAGAACCTACCATGCTTACAATGGCCTCCCTCCTGGGGACACTTGCCCTCCAGTTAAGGAGATAAGAGATGTGGGTACAAAGCCCACAGGAACTATAGACCCAGAGGAGACCTGGCTTTGAATTCGATCCTCAAAACTTTCTGCCTCTAAATGTATGCTAGTTCCCTAACTTCCCTGAACCTCAGGGTTCTCGTGTCAAGTAACAGTAGCAATTGCCTACTTACAAGTCCTTTTTTTAAAGAATAAGTGAATTTATATATTTAGAATAAGTGTGGTAAGAGACACACCAATGCCACAAGTCCTTGGATTTCCCACTGGCAGCCTCCTGTGGCCTTGGAATTTTTAAGGGACTCCAGGAAAGTGTATTGCGAGAGGCCTGATTCTGCCCCGACATCCTCACATCCGTCAGTCAGGGCACCGGAAGAAAGAGCGGGAGAGACAAGCATTTATCACAAGTGCCCTTTCGGTGCCTGCTTCATCATCCCTCAGTGTTCCTGAGAGGATGGGGCTGCCTTGGAGAGGAGACCATTCCTGCTACTGCTCGTTATCCTCAGTCTCTTTCTGTATTTTCTATTAGACCAAAAGCCTTTGGCTTGGAACACAATGTCTTGCCTGACGAACCTGAGTAGCCACTTTCCTCATTCTTTTCACCTCCTGTTATGTAGTCCTATAAATCAAGGATTAAAATTTAATATCCATGAGAATCACCCAGGGAAACTATGTAAGATGCAGCCTCATTGGCTAGAAAATGCAGAAATTTGCATTTTCAATAAGAAGCCAAGGCGATCCCCATGTGGGTGGTCTGAAGTCCGGGCTTTGATAACCACTGATAACCACTCGTGTAGACCTCCCACCCCCTCTCCCGGACCCTGCCGCATGCTGCCGCCCCCCCCAGCCTGCAAGCTCTTTCTCTCCAACCCACTCAAACTCCACAGCCCAGTCCAAAAGCCACTTTCACTGGGATTCAGACCCTCACAATCCTAACGGTAATTAGTTGCATTCAACTCAGTAATGGTAATTTATATGACATTACCAATGGACACTCAATTGAACTAATTCAGACTAGTTACTCATTTTTCCTATGGCACAGTTTCTGATATGCAGTAGATGTTAATACATATTTGATAGCCAACTGATTGAATTAATATTTTTATCCACCTGGGAAGGAAAAAATTTTAAAAGATGGTGCAAATTGATCATCCCCTCTGAAAAGTTCTGAACAGCATCATGACCACTAAGTGACCTTCAGGAGCCAGTTGGTGAAGATGCATTTGAGTTAGACTTATGTGAACTAAATAGTGATGAGAGTCCTGATTCGACTCCAGTCCTGGTCTTGTGAGCCACCCCAGAGTAGCTGTAGTTCTCTCAAGGCCTGTCATAAAATTCTCAAAGCAAAATCAGTTATAAACATTTTTATTGAAATGTATAATACATGTTGCATTTAAAAGATAGGACTATCATTCAATCTAACACATTCCAAAAGCAGAGACTCACTGCTTTACAGTCTTGAAACAAGGGAAGCTAATATGAAGCCTTGAATGTTACAAACCTCATCAAGGACTGTAAACTTAGTATCTATAGGCTGGAGACAATGTTCATTCATTTGCTCGTTTTTTCAAATATGTATTGAGCACCCATCGCATGTCTGGCACTGCTGTGGGCACTGATAAAATGGCCCTGATGGAATATGCAGTACCGCAATTAATGATTTTTATTCTAAAATAAGGGACGGCAAGTAATCCTCATGGTTTTCTTCTTTCTTCTAATTCGATAAGTGACTAGCATCGAAGTTATCTTGCAGCCACGTCGTTCACGAATTACGAGACCTTATTCCTGGTCTCCTACAGATGCCTTGAGTAGAAGACAACTCAGCTTCAACCTTTGAAACAGACAAAAAACGTTTGATCTTGCACATCAAATTTTTCTAGACAGCAGCGATTTATGCTTCCAGTTCCAGCATCTCTTAAACATTTATAGGTGAAAAGGTTGCATATATATATTTTTTTTCTCTTCAAATTAATTCAGTCTTAGAGATGAGACTGTTCTTTTACATCCATGCACTGTTAGTAGTACAGGCTTAATTGTTTTTGTTTGTTTGTTTGTTTTCCTACAGAAATCTCATGCGGTCCACCAAGACACGTACAAAACGCAATTGCTCGAGGTGTCCATTATCAGTACGGGGACATGATCACCTACTCGTGTTACAGTGGGTACATGCTAGAGGGCTCCTTCAGGAGTGTCTGCCTGGAGAGTGGAAATTGGACATCGCCTCCTGTGTGCAGAGGTTAGGAAACATTTCTTAGTGAAATCCCAGGGGAAAATATAGGGAAGTCTGGTGTGGACAACCACCAGTATGCATGCTATTTCATTTTTCCTTGTCTTTACATTTTAACATCTGCATCATTTTCCTTAACTTTGTGGGTCTGAGCTTTGAAAGCTTGCACACAGCACTTTGGCCCAGAGCACAGCCCCTTCCTGAGCCAATCACCATTCCTCAGACAAGTCTTCTCTCCCAATCTCAGGTGTATTCTCAGCTGCTAAGGGGAACTGAGTCACGTCTGGACCATGAGGGCACCTCTTGGGCACTCAGATGTTTTAGCACAGATTTCAGTTCTACCCATGTGTCTTAGGCAGGCCCCCGCCCCACAGGGGCTGGAGCAGCCAACCAATAGACAGAGTGTGAAACAAGAGGTACCCCCGCAGCCCCAGGGAAGCACCGCCCTACCCCCATGGTCGCCCTGGCTGTGCTAGGGTTGGCGGCCAGCACTGCGTGTTCACAAGGGCACTGCTGTCTCTATTCGCTGGATGGAATTTTCAAACCCAAGAATGACTTCCGTGTGTGCGTTCAATAAAATTTGGGGATAATAAAGAGGTTCTAGGCTTGAAATTCTGCAAAATGGAAAGAGATCATGAGGCATTCTAGTATGGCCTTCTGAAACTTACACTTTACTGCTAATTATTTCACAAGTCGTAATAACTGTCCCATTCATTCTACAAAGTCTTACTGAAAGTCAGAAACTATGTTAGTGAAGAAGACAGACAGCTCCAAAGAACTAAGAGAATAATCAAGTTGTCAGATGGGCCATCCATGTGGCCCCACAGGCAATGGTCAGATGTGGATTTGGGCTGAAAACGCCAGAGTCTTTAATGACTTGTGGGGACAGGGAGAACTAAGGTCCACTGAGCCTCAAAAGTGGCAAAGGCCATTGCAGGACAAAGGAGAATGATTGTCTGGGAGCAACAGTGAGATAAGAGATCACCAGCACAGGAGATGTAAGAAATTGCAGCCTTCTCCTACGAGGGCTGCGGAAGAGGTGGCATCCTCAAGGACTAGCCCAGGACTCAGTGAAAGTGAGTGAAAGGAAAGTCATGCGGTGGTGGTTTGCTCTTGGTTCTTCTCCTGAATTAAGATACCGCAGGCAGTGGCAGCAGCAAAGAGCTCTTTGAGTGCGCTGGTCATCAAAGGCCACCTTTGGAAGGGCGTTGGCTAACCTGCCAAAGGGGCACGCCCCTGGTCCAGACCAAAAGGGACTATTCTTTGTATAAACCACCCTTTCTCCTCCTGCCCCGAGTCTCTACGTTGCTAGAGCCTCAATACTCGTGCTGTCAGAAAGATCCAGTCTTGGTTGTGACCCTCCTGGGCCCCTCGTGGTCACCCCCAACCAAACCCTGAGATTCAGTTTTGTTTCTCTTTCTTAAAGCTTAAGCAATGTGACTGAGCAATCCTATTTTCTGACGCCCACCCTTCCGTAATTCCTTAGATGTATGACCATCCCGCCTCTTTTACAGCTGTCTGCCGATTCCCGTGTCAAAACGGAGGCATCTGCCAGCGCCCCAATGCTTGTTCCTGTCCAGACGGCTGGATGGGGCGCCTCTGCGAAGAACGTGAGTCCATCCTCAAATCTCCCTTTGAGTCCTGATCATTTGCCTGGAAGCCGCCAACTCCGAGTTGCTAGGGACTGGCTTTACTGGAGGCAGGAATTCATCTGCGTATCCTCTAGGAGGCCAGACCAGGCAGCTGGGGCTGATCTGTGTATGTCGGTCAATCACAGGAGATACTAGAATAGATCCATCAAGGCCGTCTCCACGTGCCTCCCACACAGGTTTCTCAGGATCCTCTCAGAAAGGAGCTTGTAGTAAAGGCTTTCCCAGCCTCTGTCTTCCCTCAACTCAAGTCTATTCATGTCCTGTGCCATCCGCTGCTACAGCTGTAAATTCATGGTGTTGCCTAACATTGTACTTTGCAGCTCACCATGCACTCTCTCTTGCTATTTCCAATGAAGGGAATACAGAAAGTGGGCACTCCTATCTCTACACAAATTAATATATATTGATGTATTGTTAATAGCATATATCAATATATTGTCTATATGAATGTAGATTTATTATATAAATTTATGTATTACTGTTAATAAATGGATGTATTGAATGTGAATTAATATAGAATTTTGGTTCTCAGTAATAATACATTTCAAGTTGAACTTCCAGGAGACTGTGAATAAGTGGTTTTAAATGTTTTTTTTTTAATGTCTAAACCACACTTTAAAAAAGTACATTGAGCATAAAATGATCCCACCTTTCTTTGGGAGCGCCATTGGGAATAAAAGGATCTCACGTTTCTTTGGGAGTGGCGTACATAAATCACGCTGAGCCATAATGTCCTGGCCATTGGTCTACAGCAGTTTTTTTCTAAGGCAGACATTTTGTGAGATTCTAAAACTATTTTAAGTTGTAACTATTTTCACTAATCTAGAAAGGAAAATGTAAGATGGCAATAAGTTCAGGCCACTGACAACTCACTGAAGCAAGTATTCTCATGGGGATGAAGAAAGAGGAGAAATTACATTTTTCCTTCCTCTTTCCCCTAATCACTCCTTCCCACTTAGGGCTGCCGCGCTTGACCTGCTGTAATGGCAAAGGTCTAGAGACTCGGGGACATTTACCCTGGGGTACGCTAACAACCGGCCCTGCTGAGCTCACCGAGTGTGTACCCGCCCTCCCGGATTAGACCAGGGCTGCCCAGGCTTTCGCGTGCACCCGGGTCACCTGGGAGATCTTGTTAAATGCGGGCTGTGATGGTGACCTGAGACTTTGCCTTTCTAGCCAACTCCGAGGTAATGCCAATGTTTTGGTTTGAGAACCACGCTTTGAGTAGCAAGCCAAGAGACAGTCTCACTCCTTTCAAACAGACTTACGCCTCTTTGAACCGCTCAGTAATTTCTAGTCAGAGGAATGATTACCATGGAGAGTGTAGGACAGGCCTGATTCAATCACCACCAGGCCTCAGCTCCAAGGAAATAAAGAGTGAGTTTCCCCCTCACTGCTGATGCGTTGCCCACAGCCCACAGGGTAGCTTATCTGACTCCCACTCTCACATTTAATTCATGACAAGAAGAGAACCCCATGGCAGCCGAACCCTCTTAGAGCATTTTATGTAATCTGTGATGTAACCTGAAACTGTAATAAATGGAGGACATTCTGCTTACTTTGTGAAGGGAAAGCAAAGCACTTAGCAGATAATTGATTACAGTACGTCCTCTCCAAAAGAGTGAACTTGGCATTGGTCATTGCAGCAGGCTAAGGGGCCAGAGTTACTTTCTTCATTGTGTTTTCCCAACGATACCGACCTATAAACAGAACCCATACAGGAGGATTCGCATCCAAGTTTATATTCCTCCTGGAAAATATTTTTCAAACACATGGACATATATGAGTGTGTGTGTGTTCATCAAATCTCTTTTCACCTCTTTCCAGCCATATGCATTCTTCCCTGTTTGAACGGCGGTCGCTGTGTGGCCCCTTATCAGTGCAGCTGCCCACCTGGCTGGACAGGGTCCCGCTGTCACACAGGTAGGCCTCCTCTAGTGCTTTGTCATCTTGGTGACTGGGCTCCGTGGAGGCACCGTTCAGGGTTGTGCGGGAGAGAAGGGCATCCAAGTGGGCTGAGCTGTGGGCCATCTTCATGTCGTCTGCTCTGTTTTGCGGAAATTAGAGAAAAACATTATGCAGAGGTTTAGAAGAATTTTTTTTTTGAGTGCCAAGTTCGAGATGCTGGATTATATCTTGTGAGCAACAGAAGCCACTGAAGGGTTTTAAGCAGGAAAACCATGTAATCAGATTTTCTTTTAGAAAATGATTTTGACAGCAGTATGGAGAAATGGCAGAAAACAAGACTTATGATAGGGAGACCAGTGAGGACGTTATTAAAGCAGAATTGGCAAAAGGTAATAAAGTCTGGAAAAATGATCATCCAAAAGGTAGATTTGAGAGAAGTTGGGGAGGTGAGTCAATGCTACTTGGTTATGGGTTTTATTGTGAGAGTAAAGGTCTCCAAAGAGCAGACACTGGTATTTCCAGTTTGGGTCCCTGAAGAAATGATGGTGCCATTTACTGGGACAGAGACCCAAGCAAGAGCAGCAGGTTTGAGGTCTGGAGACGGAGTTAAGTGTTGACATGCTTTGGGGGGCTTTGAATAGACAAGGGGGAAGTCTGACCGGCTGGCGGGTGATGCTTTAGGTTCCCAGGAGCTCCATCTAGATTGAAGGTCGTCATGGGAAAACATTCACGGGGGGACAGAAGGCTGCGGAAGGCACACGGCATAAGAAGGTGGCTCAGAATGGAACATCGAGGGCCCCCAGGTTATAGGGATGGAGGAAGATTTTACACTTTTAGACAGGGAAGGGAAATTAATAACCAATTTGTTAGTACAGTCAGGCACCATGAAATCATCATGCTTCTGAAAGGGAGCAATATTTTTCTTATATTAGCAAGCAGAATTTATGGAGAGTTGGTTTGAGATTACTGGGTTTTATGTTTGCTATTTTTAAGCCTGCTTTATTCCATAATTTTCTTTTTATGGTATTACAAATACATTCATTCTGTTGGCCTGCTCTTACTCGTAACTCACTGAGAGAGCTGCCCAAGGGCCTAGGCTAATGTTTCATTTCTTGTCCTCTGTCGTTCGACCCAGTGCTTATCAAGTGCCTGGTTCTTGCTGGCATTGTCCCCATACCATGTGAATGAATGATTAAAGAAGTAACATTTATTCATATCTCACTGAAGATGAGCTGTTCGTTGGGGGAAACTTACCCTTCTTTCCAAACTAAAATGAGGCTAAAATAAGGCCTGAAATGTTTCTCATTTTCAGACCTCTCTCAACAAGCATTTTATTTTTCTTCCAGTAGGGGGTTCTCCTTACTCTTTGAGATGTTAAACTTGCTGGCGTTAGGTCTTTATCAGTTTTTATCATCCTTAGGTTCTTTAAGAAATAGATTTGTGCAAAAATGAAGAGTTTGGTGATGAGACTCTGGATTTGTGAAAAAGATGCTTTTCTAGTAAATCTTCGGGTGTTCGCTCAGGGTTTCATCTGTGGCTAATTTTTAACTCTATTTCAGGTTCCATAATTCCAATTAAAGCCAGTAAAAATCATGAAATATATGTTCTAACAAACACAATGGATTTTGAATCATCTGTCATTTTAGATAACCCAGGTGCCTGATTTATTGTCATACATGTTGACGTCCAATGTAATGACTCAGTTCACTGGAGTTCAGTGCTTGGCTCCCTGGAGAGATTTACAGTCCAGCTGAGGTGTATAGTCACTGTGCAAAATAGTATGTCAAATTAGTTACATAAACAAAAATATAAAGAGAGAAACCACTGGACTCATATTGAAATCTGTCAGCAAAGATGTCAATACATAGTTAGAACTTAACCTGGGACTTAAATATGAAAATGGACCAGACTGGAAGGAAAAAGGGAGGTGGGACCACCTAATGACCTGAGGTCAAGCAAAGTGGCTGAAATGCACCATGCAAACAGACTGTGAGGGGTGCTGGTGGCTGGAGCAGAAAACAGAGTCAAATGTTATTTACTTGTGTTTATGGACATCTTCGGAATCGCCAAGTACTAATTAAACAAATGCATGAACTTTTCATCCCAGCTGTTTGCCAGTCCCCCTGCTTGAATGGTGGAAAATGCGTCAGACCAAACCGATGCCATTGTCCCTTGGCTTGGATCGGCCCTGACTGTTCCAGGTAAGACAGCCACACGCTAATGTTTCCCTACAATGTAAAGAGATCGGAAGTCAAGTCACATTGTTCAAGACCCAGAAGGTATCGTTAGTGCACGTGAGCATTTGGCATCCAAAAACACCCTTTCTGGGGTACACTCTCTAAATTTGAACTGCAGCCAATGCAACAAAATATCTGTTAAGGGCTGATACATAAAACTGGTATCTCAAAAAAATGAATAATCTTGTGCTCACTTTGGCAACACATATGCTGAAATTGGAATAATACAGAGCAGATTAGCTTACCCCACACAAGGATGACACAAATTTGTGAAGCATTCCATATTTTTCCACAAAATGGATTAAACAGATAAATTAACTGCCTTCTTAAATAGAAGGTTGTATTCTTTATATTCAAGGATGTAAAATAGATAATAAACTCAATGCATTTTATGACAGTCATTTGCATTGCTAGTTACAATAAAAATGACATTGAAATAAGAATTATTTCCAAAGTCAAAAATTTTGTTTTATATTTGTAATGTGTATACATATTCAGTATCTGTCTGAAAAAATTATGTAAGTATGTTTTCTGTCAGTTGGGTTCTAATTTCTAACTAGATAAATACAGTTGAGAAAAGACCATCACAAAAATAAGTCCAGGGTTTCTGACTGGTATGGCTCAGTTGGTTGGGCATCGTCCCACAAAGCAAAAGGTTGTGGATTTGATTCCCAGTCAGTGCATATGCTTAGGTTGCAGCCCTGGTTCCTAGTTGGGGGACAGGTAAGAAGCAGCCGATGAATGTTTCTCTCACACATTGATGTTTCTCTTCCTCTCTTTCCCCTCTCTAAAAATAAACAAAATCATTTTTTAAAAAGTCAAAGGAAAAATAGCTTAAAGATAATTTAAGGGTCTTTTAAAGATTTTATTTATTTCCTTTTCTTTAGAGAGAGAGGGGGAGGAAGGGAGAAAGAGAGAGAGAGAGAAACATCGATGTGCAAGAGATACATCGATCGGTTGCCTCTCTCAGGCCCCCAACTGAGGAACATGAGCCACAACCTAGGCACGTGCCCTGACCAGGAATCGAACCTGCAACTTTTTGGTTTGGACGACAGCACTCAATCCACTGAGCCACACCAGCCAGGGCCAAGGTTTTTTGTTTTTCCTAATCATTGTTTGACATACACTGTATTAGTCTCGAGTGTATAACGTGACAATCGGATCTGTATATTACTGAGAAATGATCACTGCAATAGTCTAGGTGACATCTATCACCCTACACAGTTAATTTTTTTTCCTTGTGATGAGAACTTTTGAGATTTACTCTCTTAACGACTTTCAGATATGCAGTATCATATTATTACCTAATGTCGTCATGCTCTACATTGTACCCCTGTGACTTATTTATTTTACAACAGGACATTTGTACCTTTTGCCTTCGTAATTCATTTCACCAGCCATCCCGCCCTCCACGTCCACCTCTTGCAGCCACCGGTCTCTTCTCTGTGTCGATGAGTTTGGTTTGGGTTGTGCTTTTTTTTAGATCCCACACTTGAGTGAAATCATGTGATATTTGTTTTTCTGTCTGACTTATGCCAGTTAGCATAATGCCCTTAGTGTCCATCCTTGTTGAAAATGGCAGTATTTTCTTCTTTTTTTCTGGCTGAATAATATTCCAGAAATGGAATTGCTGAATCCTATGGTAGTTCTGTTTTTATTTTCTAAGGACCCTCCCTACTGTTTTCCATAGTAGCTGCACCAGTTTACACTCCCACCAATGTTAGGCGAGAAAGTCCCAGAAACTCGGTTCTTCTTGCCAATGCAGGAAAGAATCACAGGCCAGCGAGCCTACTAATGTGCCAGCAAGGTTTACTAATGCTAAGTTCTAATAGGAAAGCGAAGCAAGGGTGGTTAGGGCAGGGGTGGCACAGGTAGGGTGGCCAGAGGCTGAATGGCCAGCACCAAAATGGCGAGGGGCCAGGTGGCCAAAAAGGGTGGCCAGGGGCCTCTCCCCGACCAGAGGCCTGCTGGCCAAGGGTCCCCCATGTGGCAAGAGAGCCACAAGGCCAAGGGAGGAGAGTCCTTAGTTCTGAGGACTTATATAATTGGTGGGGTGGGGGTGAAGAAGTTACATTTTGATTGGCAGGTAAAGGTGGTGCTAGCTTTCTGGGGGAGACATGACCACCTAAATGTGGGTGTGGGTGGGAGCCGTTAGCTGAAATCTTTATCTTGCTCCAGATTCTATTTGCGTATTTTGTAGACGTGACAGGAAGCAGTTAACTAAAATTGTCTTACAGGTTTTTTTTTTTAGGCACTGTAGTTCCCCACCCCTTGTCCCCTCCGGGCCTTGGGATGAATACAAAGTCTCAAGGTTTTCCTTTTCCCAGCTAGTGGAGATGATACACACAGTCTTTCAAGGACTCCCCGCACCGTCCTGCACTATCATAGTTTCACTCGTTGTTCAGGACGCCTGGCCTTGTCGGACCAGGCTCAGGATTACTGGGTCAGCTTGTGAGCTCTGGCTTTTAGCCTCTTGTATTAAGTTCTTTGTTAGATCGTAGTGGTGAGGGCTCTACCTCTATTTCCCCTCTGGCTGCTCATTCCACCGTAACACCAACAATGCACAAGGGTTCCCTTTTCTCCACATCCTGACCAACATTTGTGATTTCTTGTCTTTTTGATAATAGCCATTCTAACATGGGTGAGGCGATATCTCATTGTGGTTTTGATATGCATTTTCCTGATGATGAATAATTTGAGCTTTTCATTTGTATGTCCTTTTTGGAAAAAAATTGTCCGTTTAGGTCCTTGGCCCATATTTTAATCAAATTGTTCAGTTCTGAGTTGTTGAGTTATGTGAGTTCTTTATATGTTTTGGATATCAACTCCTTACCAGATAAAAGATTTGCAAACTTTTCTCCCATTCAGTAGGTTGCCTTTTCATTTTATTGATGATTTCCTTTGCTGTGCAGAAGTATTTTAGTTGGATGTAGTCCCACTTGCTGATTTTTGCTTGTGTTGCCTTAGCTTTTGGTGTTGAATCCAAAAAGTTGCCAAGATCAATGTCAAGGAGCTTACTGCCTGTTTCCCTGTTGTATTTGGCTCCTTTGTGGAAAATTACTTGACCATGTATGCATGGGTTTATGTCTGGGCTCATCGATATATATGTGTGCTTTCATGTCAATTCTATACTGTTTTGATTACTATAGCTTTGTTATATAGTTTGAAATCAAGGAGTATGATGCCTCCAGCTTTGTTCTCTCTTCTTTCTCAAGATTTAAACTTTTCCAAACTACAGAAAATGTCAGATATATTGTACCATGGATAAAATATTTGCAATATTATAATATTGTCCTCACAAATATTGCAATGTTGGCATGTTACCAGCTTTAAGACTCTCAGTTTACATCATTGCATTACATCACATGGAGCTGTATAATGTGCATTTGCTTCCATTTTATGGGACTCGTTCAAAACAAGGGCCACTTCCACATTCATTTTTAAAAATGGGAAATCAGTTAACTGGAAACAACTCTTATTTTTCATTTCCTTTTATTTTGATTGGAATGTCCACATCAACTTTCACAGACAAAACTCTATTTAAATACAAGCTTAATTAACAACAACAACAACAAAAATCTGCCTTGTGCCAATGAATTTCCTCATATCATCTCAGCATACGCCGTCTCTGCAGAGAGAAAAAAATAGACTGAACCCCAAAGAGCACATTTGGATTGCACAAATATATTTAGAAGCTTCCAAGATAAAGATGATAGTTTTACCTGAGACTAGAGTTGAAAAAACTTTTTAAAACCTGGAATGAATTTCTGGGGAAAATGAGAGAAAAGAAAGAAAAAAAGGAAAGCTAAAAGAAATAAGAATGACAGTAACTCAAAAGGGAGTAGGAAGTATTTATAATACCCTTAGAATTTTAGACTTTGCGTTTCAACTCTTTCAAACAGACAAGAAAAGGAAACCCAGAATTTGTGTGGTTCCGTAACATCAAAATACTCCCAAAGGAGACTTTCTTGACAAGGGGAATGATGATTATTAACTTACGTGAAAATACTGTCTAATAAAGAGAACAAAATTACATCTTATGCGAAAGTTTGATAAAGAAATCCGAGAAATGTGGCAAATTGTATGCTGAGCATCGCATCCCACATTCAAGGAAAGGTCAACTTTAACCCAGAGGACTGGGCAACTCCCCACCCCACCCCACCCCCTTTATACTGTGACCCATTTTTCTAGAAGGTCTGTATGAGTTAGGACTCACTAATCGCAACTATGTAGCCTAACCAAAGAAAGGAATTTGTTATCACAATAACAAAGAGACCTTGCATGGAACCCAAATACGTGGATGGCTGAGCATCAGGAGGGCCCCACCGAGCACTTGGCAGTCCCCCTGCAGCCCGTCCACCTCCTGTCCCACCGTCTCTCTCCAGCATCTGCTCCATGCTCTCTCTTGCTGCAGAGTGGTTTTCCCTGCTGTTCAGTTTGAGTGGAATGACAGAGGTCCTCGGAGCTCCCACATTCTACATGTCGTACCACAGTATCCACAGCAACAGTGTGCTGCGACCCAGTTTAAAAACCCAGGAGAAGAACCAGTTAGTTCAGATGGATTCAGGGGCCCGCCATGGACCAGTCATCTGTGGCCCCAGGTTGGGTTACGTCATACTAACATGAAGAGTCATTTTGTCAAACCTTTTACTTTACCTTTGGGTAAAGGGGAGAGGAGGCTGGCAATTCCCAGAAGAAAGAGAGATGGAATATAATTCCCCGAAATGAGAGGGGGAGAAAGCTTTTTCTGAGAAGTCAAAACAATAGATGTTTACAGATAATTTTTTATTTTCTTCTCTCCCATGAGACTGAGTACTTAAAAGACTGTGTCCTGTACTTAGCAGAGGCACAAAATGCACGCCCAGTAAATGCTTGTTGTCAGATGGAGTGATTTCTGCTCATCTGCAACAGCCCGTGAAGAAGTACCCCGTAGCTTTTATTAAACCCCTCCACCAGTAACTTTCTCTATTGATGAGTAGGACTGACCTTGTTCCCAGGTAGTTCAGTCCTTAAGAAGAGATTGTGTTTCCCCTGATCTCAATATGCCTCTTCAGAAAAGCACCCCGAAACAAACACCATTAAATAAAATCTATAGACTGGTAATGTTGTAACAGACCTTTGGGTCCATCATGCCCAAACCCCTCATTTTACAGATGAGCACTTTGTCAGACAAGAAGCTAGTGACAGAGCCGGGACTGAGTCCCAGGTCTGCTGATTCTCAGATCTTTTCATAAGTTAGCATGTGTTCTGCATGCCCCTTGGTCGTCTCAACAAGTGACTGCCCTGAATACAAACAACGCCAGGGATGGCGCCCAGGTATCTGAGGCTTTCAGTTCTGCTCCAATCAGCCCCAAAAGGGCCGGAGCCTCTTCAGTACAGTCTTTTCTGTTGAACTGCTTTGTTTTTCGTTCCAGGAAAAGGAGGACTGGGTTTTAACCACCGCCCAACCAAGCAGCTCCCCTGAAAGCAGGATCATCTCTTTCCTGGCAGAGCCCTGGGCATCCTGGAACTTGTGCAAGGAAATCCCAACACAGTGCTGGGTGTGGTTTTGTTTAGTACGCCTGTCGACTGGGGTTTACCTTTTCATCTCGTGTCAAACTTTGTTATTCCTTGTGACATACTTTCTTATGTTTCCATTTTTAAATATGCCTGTATTTTCTATATAAAAATATGTTAAATAGATGCTGCTCCCACTCTCACAAAATGTACATACTCTGCTGTCTGTTGAGAAAGTTCCTGGTACACATTTTTATTCAGTTACTTAAGATGATGTTTTAATTAAAATATATTTTGCTACTAAATAATATTTTGCTGGATAGTGCCATTTTGTGAGGTAGCCACGGAATGATGAAGAGGATTAGTGATTTCCGTCCACTCTTCTGGCATAATATAGGATCACGTGCAGTGTACCACAAAATTACAATAAAAACGACGCCTTCATTCTAGTTCCATCTTCTTTACAACATGTGTAACAGTGAAGGTTTCCTTTTGTTTAATCAGAGGATGACTACCAGACCTCCTACTCTTCACGTGGAATGTCTGCCTGCTGCTGACGTTAGCCTGGCCAATTCCTTTCCCAGCGTTTAGAAAGCCACAGGCACCAACTTCATGGATGGGGGGAAACATAATGACCATGGCCCACAAGACAAAGCCTTCCCCTTCCTTCTCACACCTGGAATAAAAAGATGCGAGAACTGGAAGATTAACACAGTCCTTTCTGGGTCATAATCCTACAACTCGCTGCTTTGAGAGAAAGGCAATTGAAAGGAGGGCAGGGAAAAGAGCACATGGGACAAGTTCCCTAGAACTCAGCTCCTGGTCCACCTGCCAAAAGAACTGAAGCTACCCAGGGAAGAACTAGGCTTCCACTCAGTCCTGATATGCCAAGGTCGTGGGTTCAGTCTCCGGTCTGGGCACATACAGGAATCAAGAATCAACTAATGAATGAGTAAATAAGTGGAACAACAAGTCAGTGTTTCTCTCTCTCTCTTACTCTCTCTCACTCCCCACCCTTCCTCAGTTCCTCTCTCCCCCTCCCCCTCTTTCTCTAAAATCAATAAATTAAAATTTTTTAAATAATTATTAAGTATTAAAGACTCACAAAGGAAACAAATATATTTAACTACAAAAAATGTGGAAACTTCTCTAACAAGTCGAGTGAACAAAAACCGAAGACTAAAGCCAAGTAAACACATACATGCCAAAATAATATTCTAAAATGTTATAATTTAATTGATAACTATGAAAAATATTTCGTTTTGGGAAGAAATACAAACAAGCAATGCACTAAAGAATACAGATAGAATGAGCAGTCTCACACATCACAAAGCAAATGCAAAATAATATGCCATCCATGTTGGCCCGCCAAATTGGCAAAGGTTCCAGGGGCAGTGTTTGCGTTAGTGATAATACGCAGTCGGCTGGTAGATGAAATCATGGCTTTGAACTTCCTTAGGAAACTTAAACTCGTACAACCTTTCTTCAAAACAATGGTCAACATGTATCAAAAACCTTAAAACTATATTTGCCTATCTTTTACTTCCATAATTCTTTCCTGAGAAGCAATCCCATTTTTTTAATAATCTGATTTAGAGGAAAATATTTGTGCACACAAGAAAATCATCACAGTATTTTTAATATTAAAAATCAGTAACAACTTCCACAACTTAAATTCCTGGAACTGGTTGTGGAATTCATGGTATAGGTATAGAATTAGACACTGTGAAGCCATTAGATATTACCTATACAAAGAGTTTTAATCATCTGAAAAATCATTATAGCATAATATTCAGTGGAAAACAGTAGCAATGAAGCCAAGCAGTAGCCAAGAAGCAATGAAAACAGTATATAACCTGCTTCTAGTGGACTCCCCAACTGCTAGAACATGCAAATGCAACATGAATAGAAAGAAATTCACCAACCTTTGTTAATAATAATTTTCCCTAAGTCGTAGAACTATGGGTGACTTTTATCTTTTATCCAAACTTCCCCTTTATTTCTGGCTTATTTTCAATGAAATGAATTACTTTTATATTCATAAATACACTTTAATACTTATAAAAACTAACATGTAATTCATTAAAGTTAATCAAAGTAAAAGCCCCACTTAATGCACATACCATCTTTGTTTTCCCTATTTCATCTGGTGCAGGCACTGACGTGTATGGTGTAAGTTTAAAGATCTTTCCTCTGTATAGTTTTGCTCAAAGACTCCTCCAAAAGAAGAGTTCCAGTCCAGATGAATGAATATTAGTTCAAGGTAAAAACAGAAGCTGTGACCAAGAGGAAGTATCAGTACACTCGTATACACAGGATAATCAAATTCAGGAACTTAACAAATGACTGCAACTATTGGTGTATTTTTACAGCATATCCTTCTGCTTTACGCTGCAGGTGAACATTAAAGAAGGACACTTACAGTATCTGAAACCGACTAGCCAAATTTCATCAGAATTTGTTTCTTCTGCTTCCTTAACAACCAACAAAGCAGCAGCAATGCCATTGGTGTATTTTAGGGATTAGAACTGCTTACTCATACTTCCCTAACTCTGACCTTAAGGCAGTAACAACTTCAGATCTTTATTGCCCCTAATTATCTTACCACCCAGCCACTCAAGGTAGACTGGACCCGAAGTGTAGACTTGGATGAAACCTTAAAGAAAGGACTACTTTGAAAATAAAGAAAAGCTGCAAACATATTGTCAGGGCTGCCTATCTTTGGTTGGTCCTGCTGCTTCATGGTCCCAGCTGCCAAAGTCAGCAGGCAAAGCCATTTAATACATAGGATCCTCGGCAGGATACTTCTGGGCATTTAAGTTCTATAAAAGAAACCAAGGTACTTTAAAGAGACTCACAGGGATCTAGGCTGCATGGGCATCTGTAGGTGACCACAGTCCCCTTCTCCGAAGGAAAGGCTGATCACACCACCCGGCCCCTCACAGAAACCATTTCTAGGGTGTTGGCTCCACCCTCCTACGCCCAGACCTGTCTAATCACCCACCAGATCCTCGCCCTTCTGAATCACAAAGGTTCCTCTTTTCACTACGTCCTCTGAACCTCTCACTTTCCCGGCAGAGTGTTCCAGCTAGTGTATGCTTTCACAAGTTAAAAATGTGTCTAATCAGCCAGTGGAACAAAGAGTGCAAACGGACAAACTAGGAAAGCCAGAAAGAATGGATTTAGGTGAAGGTCCCACAAAAAGTAGCAAAAACTCCCTGGGTGCATTTCTCAAGTATATACTATGTTCTTTCAAAGACTCTGGAGTTTTTTTATTGAGAATCTACAGACTATATAGTCAAAGGGAAAATAGTCCCAAGCTCTTTTTTGCACAGCTTATAGTTTGTATTCTGCTTCGTAATTTAAAGTGTATGTTCTCCTACATTGCCTCATAAAGTAGTGAGAATTGAAAGTTTCGTGGATGCCGAAGAGAGATCAATGGCTGTATAAACACGGGGGGCCCTCCTCTGCTCAGCCCTTCCCCAACCCATGTCCACTAATTCTGCAAAGCTCTGGCTTTACATTTAAGAACATTGAGTTGCAAAGGAGCAGAACCCACAAGACCTAGAAATTACTTTGGCAACACCTGAAGCCCGAGGCTAGGGTCCAGAGTAATGAGCCACAGCACAGGTTCTGGAGAGCAAACCCTCGAGAGAATGTGGCTGGCATTTTCAACCCCAAATATGCTTTATGGCTATGGTTATTATAGCCTGTTTCTGACATTTGCAAAAGAAAATGTTTCTAATCACAAGGAATCTTTGTGGGGTTTTTTTTTAAGAGTCCCACCAAATAACTTCAGGCTATGTTTAAAGGACAGCCCAAAATTGTTCCATAAGTCATCATTGCAACATTGAGAGGAGCTCATGACGAATGCCTTCCGGTTCTCTGAGTATCCACACTCTCATCTGGAGGCCTTCACACAAGGCATTTCCTTTACCTGTGTCCCTTGCCTCTACCTCCAGTTCTCACCTCGCCCCGCCATCGTAATACCATTTCACACTTTTCTTCCTACTATGTGTTCTTGACCTCTCAGATGCTCCTGACTTTATTCTAACCCCCCTTTCCCATCTCCACCCAAAGATTACCTTATGCAAAACACAGCAAAACACAATAAGTTCTGCCCTTCCTCATTCCAAGATCCATTCCATTCAATATGCCAAGGAGAAGAACAGGCAAACCAACATGGACATTCAACTACAGAGTGAATACACTGTGTGTGTGTAATGTATTGAGATTCAGAAAGAGCAGCAGTGGGTTAGATAGATCCCAAAGCTCTCTTACGCACACACAAACACACACACACCCTTACCTTTTTATCCCTATCAAAATAGCTCATGACCTTGATCATGAGCCACTGCCCAGCTTGCTGCAGTTGGACCTTAAGTAAACCCAAAATACAGAATGAAACCCAGGAGCCTATAACATGTCATGGTAAAAATATACTTTAATAGGGTCGGCTCTTGGGTGCTCATGCATCTCCCACTAGAGCAGGCACTGAGCTCTGGTGGGTCCCTCACTGCGCAGGGGGCCAAGATGATCAAAGTATGATAAGCCCAGCCAGTGGAACAAGGGGGACAACAGGAAGGCACACCCACTCATTTGCATCCTGGGTCTCAGGCACAGCCTTATAACTCTACTGTTTTGCTAGTTGTATAATAAACTGAAGGAAAGACAAGTCACAGTTATCTTTCTCCCTGGTCTCTATGGCCTACTCTAGATGGATATTCCATCTATCTGAGCTTCAGGTCTAGTTGAACTTCTGGTCTATCAGAAACCCCCTTCTAAAACATACCCCAGAACTTTCCCCAAGGAAAAGAAAACTAGAAGTTCTGCTGGGGTGGGGGGGGGGGCTTCACCCACAGGGCTCCCCCCCACTCCGCCCCCACTGCCTTGGATGAGAATACCTCTACCAAGACATGATCTGCTTGGGGAGGAAAAGTGGCCAACCTCCCAGAGGAGAGGGGCCAAGAGCCTTTTCCTCAATGGGCTTTTATTGGGTTCATTTTGCACAGGAATACAGGTAAAGCTCATCAGTCATTGTCAGGCAGTAAGGATCAAACAATAACATTCAAAGAACTCTGAGGGCTTATTCTGAGTCAGAGTTGGCTAAAGGGCTATAAAACTTTGGGGAACAAACTCATTTTATGCTTGGACCCTTATCAGAAAACTGAGGACATTCTTAGCAAAGCACGTTTCACAAGATTTTATGCATTCTTTCTTAGGGAACCCACGCTTTCCAGAACAGGGCCATACCCACCTCCCCCAAGGGTTCAGTCTTAAGTCAGGCAGGGGAAGTAAGGCAGCCAAGAGATTAGGAGACTTCTAGCAGACAGAATGAAGACTCAGGTTATGGCAAAGTCAAGGGGTGAGGGTCCATCACCCCTTTTTGCTATAGCCCCCCAAGTCCTTCCCTGAGAGTCCCCCATGACCATGCCT